CCCATGCAAAAGCCGGGGGGAGGGGGGGGCTGGGAGTCCCGGCCCCTGTCCCGCCCCACCCAGCTTTTGCGTGCAACCACAGGGCTCCCAGTGCCAATCGAGTCCCGCCTCCCAGTCGTTCCCCCACCCCCGCCAGGCTTCCCTCCGACGCCCGGCCGGGAATTCACAAAATACCGGACATTGCACATGTCCAGTATTTTCTGAATTTTTCTACCAGACAGACGGTGCAAATACCGGACTGTCCAGTAGAAAACCGGACACCTGGCAACTCTAACCAGGAGCCGCTCAAGAGAAGGCCCTCCTGCCCCAGCCCTGACCTCCCCAAAGGTGGAGCCCCCTCCTACACGCCAAAGCTCTCACCCTCAGCCCCACCCTGGAGCCCACACTCCAGTCAAATTGTGCTGGGTTACGGCATCCACAATTTTCTTCAACTGGGTCATGAGAAAACCAGTTTGAAAACCCCTGGCCTAGAATACGGGTTCTGTGCATTTCCGAGTTAACAATGGAGGATTAAATAGCGCACACATCTGGAACTGGTTTTCATGAAAGTTCCCAGGAACATTTTTCCCATTTTTCCATACCACACAGAAAAAAAACCCAAAACAGGTGAGCTCATTTGCATTTTCCCATAAGGCACTGAGCCGAGAGAAATATCGATCACCTACCTTTGTAACAGAGGTTGTTCTTACAGTTCCCTCCGTAGCTAGGTGGGCACTCAGAACAGGGTCTGCCATTTTTATAGGGCGCTTCTCCAATCCAGTTCCCCCTGGAAAAAGCATGAGAGAAATGGGTCACTCTTGAATAGCATCCATGCCACACAAACAATTCTCTTACTTCGCTTGCAGGGCCTGTGCCTGAAACCTGAACCCCGAAGCCTCAGGCTATTGAGGAATAGTGGAAAATGAATGTTTTTCCTGTACTTGTGTGTTGCTAGATGGGTGTTAATAGAGAAAAGGGTCCCCTGTGTCTGTCCTTCCATGCATGTACAATCTCGGCGGCTTTCTCGCGATAACTCAGCAAACCAAGGGGAAAAAGCCCAGTACAACACTTTCCCTTCTGCTTCACAACTGGTGAGTCGCAGACTGGTACTGTGCCATTGGCTGCCTCGTGTGTGTTCCTCAAGGCCAGAGCCACACATCTACCACCATTTCTGTGCTCTTACGACACACGCTGCCTGGAATACAGCTCTTTTCCATTTAAAAGCTGTTCCGCTTTCCACTGGGAACGGCTCCCACACAGGGCTCGGCCTGAGACACCAGAAATCCCAGCCGTGGTGAGTGCTTTAGACAACTTGCTGATGTTTCTAGACAACGTGTCTAGGAACATTAGCCTCATCTCCCATTTTCCAATGACTCAAAAACCCCTCCGTTTTGCCTCTGAGGCCACAAGCAGCATTCTTCACAGTTGCTGTGGTAATCACTACAGACTGAATATGAGGTAACTCTCTCACATATCACTTCAAAGGGTCAGCACCGGCAGCCTGCTCCTTGAAAGCAAACATTTCACCTCATTTCATTTCTAAAAGGCCTGTTTAAGAGAGGTGCATGGCGTGCTCTGTGTGTGTGTGTGTGTGTGTGTGTGTGTGTGTGTGTTACTTTTACATTAAAATCCTATGTAGATACTGCATGCCTAGCTGAGTGGAATTAAATCAATTTTATTCACTCAAGAAATTATTGGCTTTGCAAAAAGAAAAACTCTGCCCCTGCTCCCCTTCTGATTTTGTATATTATAAAGGTTTAGAGCTTTCAGAATCCAAAGAGTGTGGTCTATGAATCGCACCTTCTTAGTAATTGTCCACTGCGTGGTCCCCACTCACGAGGGTAGGGTCATACTGAAGCCTTGAAAGGAGAAGAAACTCCACAAGAGCCTGTATTTGTCCGTACTGCAGCCCTGAATGGGGGATATGCAAAGCAATTCCACCTTCTCCCAAAGGTCTGCAGGACACTACAGTGCAATCCTGCATGCCGATGAGTCTCCTCAAATCCCATTCCATTTCTTAGGAGCCAAAGGTTCTCAGCATCTCCTGGGCAGGGAAGGGCTTATTGTTGGTCTAAATACCCACACAATTCTCCGATGGCTTTTACCGCAAACAGTAAGAATTGCATCCCACCCCCATCTTAATCTGTGGCTGAACTCAATGGGATCTGCAGTCAAAGTGCCTTCATGAATACATCGGCTTCTCTTCCAAATATTTCCGTGTGGTGTTGCCTTTCTGTAACGGTTTTCTAAACTCTAAGCTCTCTGGGGCGAAGCAGCTTTGTGTCTCACGCAGCACAAAGATTTTCAGGGCCTGCCCATTACATATTAAACAACATTAGCATATATATGCATGTCGATTTGCAGCTCTTTCCAGAAACTGGCTCTGTAACCCGGACAGCGCTTCTTACTAGAAACTTGCCACAGATACATGTAAACTCTTAGAACAAATGCAGCTTCTACGTCTAGTAGAAGTCTGGCCCAGGACTGATTCAATATGAGTGCTTGAGTTACGTAACTTCTTTGGAACAGAGATGGTGGCTTGCTGCAGGTCTGTATAGCACTTAGCATAATGGGGCCCCACTTTGGTTGGCATTTACGTACTGCCACAATTTAAATATTTAATAAATCCACCACTCCTCCAGAAATCTCTGCCCCCAACTCTCTATTAGTTGGGCAACCTGTCAGGGTGCAGCTGTAAGTGCTGGCGTGCAGAGGGGAGGGGAGAGAAACAGATTGTATCATCCTTACTTAGGAGAATAGTTGCAGACCAGATAGACGGCATTCTCCCAGATCTCCCCCCAAACATTCATCTGTTTGCAGATGTTTACAGCGCAGCCAACCTTGTTTGTCGTGGCCCAAACGATCTGAAAGCATAAAGCAGGCATGTTAAAAAAAACCAAAATGCTGCAAGAGACTCGTGGCCCAAACGATCTGAAAGCATAAAGCAGGCATGTTAAAAAAACCCAAAATGCTACATTTGCTCAAGTTTCCAGAATATATTTTCACAATGACCAGTGTCCCCATCTCCCCGCATCCCTGCAGACAGACTGGGATAACTTTTATAATATACTATGATGGAGCCACTATGCCTAATGCATATTCAGGAGAGGTTTCACCTCTCTGACCTATTTTCATTTCCTCACCCTACTAATACTGAAGTGCCTTCATTAGTATATAATTAGTATATTAATTAGGTTAATTTGTTATCATATATTAATATGTTGCCATGGCTCTCTTGTGGTCAGACATCTGCAGAGGTTCTATCCAAAAAGTGGAGTTACCTCACGTCCCTGAGCCTGGCTGGTGTCATTATGGACAAAATTCCCCCAACACACTTTATTTCCAGCTCCCCAAAATTTAGGGGGTGACTGAGCCAAAGTTCATAGGCCTCAAGCCTTTTGCTAACTGCTGAAGTCAGTGTCTCCCAGGATAGAGGCCTGAAGATGTCTTGCATTACTGGTGAATAAAATAAATACTAAGAGAGCTCTATGGGCTACATGGGGTGTGAGGGAACACACCAAGTACTGACAGAGGACTCGGGATTTCATGTTTCCTTCCTCTTCCTTACCTGGGTATAGTGAGTGCACATTGCTCCAGAGCATCTTTCAGGACACCAAGGATCACATTCGTGGGGATAGGGATAAGTATAATCTTTAACTTCGTCATACCAAGACTGCACATGGAAGGCTGGAGAACGGTACCTAAAAGACCAACAAGCTAGATCACTACCTACAACTGTAGGGTTCCCACCAACCTCAATGCACCAGGGTCATCTTTTGTTAATATGAAACTCTCAATAATTCGGCATGGGATATTTGCAAAGCAGTAAAATTCGTTCATAGTGCAACATGGTGCCACCTTGGTAAGGAACAGCAACTTTAAGAAATGGAGCGATCGTCAGAAATGATAGAAAAACCCAGCGTCATATCTTGGCCAATGACAAATCTCTGCTGTTTGACACACAGAGAACTATGAGAGACTTTAAAATTTAGGATCCAATCTGACATTCTGCAGTAGACTGTATTTTTAGGTTTAACTTTCTCTTTAAAAGCCATTGACCTGAAATGCCCCCTTGACTTTTCCACTCCATTACAAAAGACTTCTAGTTTGGCAGAAGGATGTATTTTGAAAGTAAACATCAGCAAGAGGCTGCCAAATGGATTAAACCACAAGTCATGTACCTATGTTACTGCTACACAATTGATTATGTCTGAAAGCACACTCATGTCCATAGCAGCTGTGCACCAGGCACTGGGAGGATGTGGTTTGGGCAGGCACTACACTTTTAAATGCTGTTTGTGGCACAGTTGCACCATGATCCAGGCTTATGTTGGGAAAGTGAATGTCAGTATAATTATATATACACCCCATGCATGCTGTGTGCAATGGCCCATTAGCCTCCACCCACTGTAGCTAATGGTACAGATGGAGCAACCTGTGGACTTCACATTCCATTCAAACGCTCATAAACGAGCAAATAACTGGAACCAGAGGTGTCGCGATCAAGGATACTTTGCACTTGCCTCATAACCTTTCTCTGATGACCTCAACGTGCTTTAAAACCATTAATGAATTGTGTGTCACAATATGACAGGAGGGAGTGTACTAATGGCCCCATTTTACAGATGAGAAAACAGAGGCAGAGGGCTTGATGGCAGTTCTCTCACTGATTTCAATGGGACTATGCAGTCTGTGATTAGCCCAAGGTCACTCAGGATGCTGGAGTAGAGCCAAGTAGAATCCTGGTCTTCTGACTCTCAGTCCTGTACGTTAACCCCACGATCCCACTTCCTCCTTTCGTACATCAATTTGTCAAAATAGGGCCCGATTCTGATATCACATCACTCTTACATCGAAGAAATCCCATTGATTGTAACTGAGGCTATGTCTACACTGCTGCTCTTTTCCAGGATACTGGAGGTATCCCGGAAAAGCTGTGCCACATCCAAGGAACGCATCCGCTTAAAAAAAAAATCGGAAAAGCGGACACGTTCTTTCACCATCCCTGTAAACCTCGTTGTACAAGGAAGAAGGGATGTGCCGAAAGAGGAGGTTTTTCTGAAATTTGGCACCATGAAGATGCGCCAAATTTCGGAAAAGTCTCTTCCGAAAGAAAAGTGGTTTGCAATTTGTGTATCTTTTTCCAGCTTTTCTTTATAGTGTAGACACAGCCTGAGGTTCACAGTGGGCATAATCACAGTCCAGCCTATTAAGTTAACAAGGAAGGGGAAAGATTTGCTTAACAAATAACACTAAATTCACCCTTAACATCTGCACCAAATGAGCTCCAATTTAGCAGTTGGCTGAGCTCCAGCTGCTGATCTGGACAGACTCTAACCTGGCTCATTAAGCTAACAATGCTCAGGAGAGCCAACCATGCCATCGACTGCCAGCTCCTACTGGGAAGAGAACCCCTGTTGTTTTCCACTGAGGACATACAGCAATCTGGCAAAGCAATCCCCATGGATGCAGAAATGCAATAATCTCTACCTGGTCCAACACCCCAGGTTTGGCCCAGAAGCTAAAAGTGTTTGCCCATCTCGAATTCCGCACTCATCCAAAAGCAAACACAAAGTGGTTGCAGACATTGGGAAGCGCAAAGGGAAGTGTGGTGAGATGCACACTGAGGATTCCTAACAGTTAGAGGTCAGGCCCAGCTGGTTTGCAAAGAGAGCCAAGCTGTGTGTGAAACAGGGGACTTGGGAGTCTGGGCCCTGGAGTCAGTGGAACTCTGCCACTGAGTCTCTGTAGGAACTTGGGCAAGTCCCTTCTCCTCTCTGTGCCTCACAGGTAAATCCACCATACACAGGGGAGCCGATAGGATTGTCAGGCTTCTGTCCAATGTGTGCATGGGGAGAACGCTGCAGTCCTGGAAGGGGCGGGGCTTCAGGAAGAAGGGGCGGAGCCTCAGGTGGAAGGGGTGGGGCTGGGGTAGCCAGCCCTTAGAGCTGCCCAGGCTGCATGGTCACCTCTCCCCCGCCAGTCCTCACGCCCAGCCAGAGTGCATGGCATGAGGCTCTGTAGCACCACCTCGTGCTCCTATGGGCCTAGGCCTCTTAGAATCACCAGCCTCTGGGGCAAATGCAATCTTTGCTTGAGCTCCCCGCTACCCCGCCCCCCATCGGTGGGCCTGACCACACAATGGGGTTCAGTTCACATTTCCTAAGCATGCTGGGAACGGCTGGCTGAAAGGCCAGATATACGTTACCATTACCGCATCCGTTTCAAAGAAACGCTGCCCACCCCCCTTCCCTTTTTCCTGCCCATCAAGCTATTTTTCCTAAACGTTGACAGGACAAACCTCCCAAATTGTCCCACAAGGAAAGACCCAAATGTGGACCGAACGGGCACGCTAGCCCGTCGCTCTCCAGTTCTTACCTGCCCCAATGAACCGCCAAATTCTGGCCAATGGACATAATGAGGCTGGTGGGTCCGTGATCCCAGATGCACTCCTGGGCCCAAGCCTCTGCTGATCTTTCCAGCTCATCATCCCAGGTCTACATGAGAGTCAAAGAAGAGAGCAGTTGACAAACGGTGGGAAAACCTCTGACAAACACACTGGACCTGCGCTCTGCCTGGGCGCCGCACTGCGGGGCAGGCTCCGAATCGCGATGCGCCCCGGTGAAAAGCTGGAGTGTACCTCCCTGTATCAATGAAAGGCTCTGGCGTGGACTCGGCCTTTCTTTGCTGCTTCCCCATGACGCAGAAGGGAAAGATTCCAGCAGCAGGACCCTACCTTGCTAAAAACAGCTGTGTAGATGGGGAAGCTTGGCTCAGGTGAGTTCAGAGCCATGTAGTCAAGTGCATACCCACCCGCTTCATCGTGTCTTTTCTTGCCCAAGCCATGCCTCATGTCTCCTATTTATACCTGTGCTGGGGGGGCTACCCATGTATGTATTTTACCTGCCAGTGAAAGAAGCATGCAGTGGAGACCTACCCTCAGAACTAAGCAAAAGGACTGGTTGATGGGATGAGAGTTAAGAGTCACACATGATCCCCAGCCTGGCCTTTCTTTCACGTAATCAACCTGTGGAACTCCTTGCCAGAGGATGTGGTGAAGGCGAGGATGTTAGCAGGGTTCAAAAAAGAGCTAGATAGATTCATGGAGGTTAGGTCCATCAATGGCTATTAGGCAGGATGGGTAGGAATGGCCTTTGTACATGGACTCGGGACTCTTTGTGGTCTACTACTTTAGGCACCATTTAAACACCAGACAGCATCTGACCCTCTTCAAATCCATAAGAACAATCATACTGGGTCAGACCAAAGGTCCATCTACCCCAGTGTCCTGTCTTCCAACAGTGGCCAAAGCCAGGAGCCCCAGAGGGAATGAACACAACAGGTAATTATCAGTTGACCCATCCCCTGTCGCCCATTCTAAGCTTCTGACAAATAGAGGCTAAGGACATCATCCCTGCTCATCCTGGCTAATAGCCACTGATGGACTTATCCTCCGTGAATTTATCTAGCTCTTTTTTGAACCCTGTTAAAGTCCTGGGCTTCACAATATCCCCTGGCAAGGAGTTCCACAGATTGACTGTGCATTGTCTGAAGAAATACAGGTTGAACCTTTCTAATCTGGCACCATCCATGGTTCAGCATGATTTTAGCTAGCTGGCTGTCCATTTATCATGGGTGTGGGAAAGTTTCCCACAGTCCCATAGAGTTTGTTTACAGCCACCAGTCCTGGCTCTCTCACTGTTCGGTGCTGTTATTTAGCTCTGATTTACCCCAAAATATCTTCTAAGAGCCCTGTAAGCAGTAGAAGTGCTGGTCATGCTGCTAGGCAATATTCACCACCTGTGGTTTGACAAATTCTCTGGTTTGGCACCGTTCAGGTCCCAAGGGTGCTAAACTAGAGAGGTTCAACCTGTACTTCCTTTTGTTTTAAGCCTGCTACCCAGTCTAAAGCCACTGAAGCTCTCCAAGATCCTAATGCTCTTGCTACTTCATAGCTTTTCACCAGAGCCTTCCAAATCGCAGCCTCAAACGCAGTTGCTTTCCAAGTCTCCTAATTTAATGCAGAGACCATATGATATGAGCAATATGCTACTAAATGGAAATTGACATGAACATATGTGCTACAGCTTACCAATGCAGGCAAGAGATACTCCATGAAAGACTGGGGACAAGCTTTATTTTATTTTTATTTATTTTTTTTGCATCTGTGGATTCTTGCTTGATTAGATGCTCGGTTCTGCCGGCATCACATTATAAAGCCCCGGCTATTTAAATTAGACCTGCCATTTGCTTCTCTTTCGATGTATGAATGCCATCAGGAGACTGGACTTATTCCAAGTGCAATGAATATATCAGCAAAATAGATTTCTGACTATCCCCTGATCCCTCAAGACCCCTTAATGCCAAAGACTCAAACCAACCTCTCAGATCAATATTGAAACCAGACATGCACTAACCAACTAGGCTCCCTTTAGACTTATTTAAATTCTCTGTAGTGGACACTCTCCAGGAAATGGGATACAGTGAGCTGGTCGTGAACCTGAGCCAAAACAGTTTAGTTTTTCTTCTGGAGATCTGAGATCGTTTTTGAATGGCATTAAGGACATCGTTGTGGACACACCGATGAATAAACCGGGACTGCAATGTGCATATGTAACTACATGAAGAGCACGCACAATTAGACATGCATTTGCTCGCCTGTTTTGTCTGGGAACATGACATTCAGGCTGGACCGCGATTTTAACTCGCACAATTCATTGGCCAATCTCAAGCAACTCTGCTAGTTGCATGTACTGTGGTCTGACAGGCCCTTTACTCTCACGATGGGTATGAAATGGAAACAAAAGAGATTTCACAAATTATGAGGTGCACTAGCAGAATCTTGGACCAGATAATTTGCCCTATCTAGTAATAATATCTTCTCCACATTCATGAGCAGTAACTTCTTTCAACCATGCAGAGGAAAGGTAGGTTAACTCCACATACAAGGGAACGGAAATCCCTTCCCTCTAGGAATACGTGGAACCCATAAGGCCGTGGTTTTCCATTTTATTTTCATGACCCAGTTGAAAAAATGTGTTGATGCCTGCGACCCAACATAATGTGACTAGAGTGTGGGTTCCAGGGTGAGGCTAAGGAGGAGAGCTTTGGGGTGTAAGAGGGGGCTTCGGCTTTGCGGGGCATTGCTGGGGCAAGAGGGGCTTACCTTCAGCAGCTCCCCATTACCGCTGCAGGGGGGTGCTAAGGCAGCTTCCTGCCTCTTCTGGCACTGCAGACCAGGCTGCGCCCCAGAAGCAGCCAGCAGCAAGTTCTAGCCAATAGGAGTGCAGAGCTAGTGCTCAGGGTGGGAGCTGTGCATGGAGCCCCCTCCCCCAGGAACCGATCCCGTCGCCAGCTGCTTCTAGGACACATCACAGTCTGCGGTGCTGGGACAGGCCTGGTCACCTGATCCCCCTGCAGCAACGAGACCCAGTGCCCGACATTCCATCCCCCAGTCCTGGGTCACAAACAGTAGTTTGGAAACCACTGATATAAATCAGCTGCAGCCCATTACTGTGCTGGGAAAATCCTTTGAGATCTGAAAGACAACACACCTCTAGGCAAGGTAAGGTTTTTGATTTTCAGTGTTGCTGGCAAAACAAACCGAAAGGTCACTCGTCTCTTAGAAACTGCTGCTTATTTTTTACTCTAGGTTGATTATCAACATGGAGCTTGTTTTGTTTTGGACACTCGCCATCCCCATTACTACTGTTCTATAATAAAAACATACAATGGAAGCGCATGTACTAAAGTTGCAAGGCGGTTAGGGTCATTTTATTTCTGGCCCACTCCATCGTGGAGAATGTACACTGTTCACATCTGGCCCAGAACAACATCTGCCAAAGCGGAGCCAGGGAGCTGATTTTCCATTAACACTGAATACCATGGCTAACCTTGAATCCATTATCCTAACATAGCCAAGCAGCACTAGGCTGCTGCAGTAGTGAATTTCTATTCTTTCTCCGCTCTCCTATTACCCAGCCTCAGACTTTTCTTCCCCTTTTGCTTGAATGAGTCTCTTGCTTCAGTTATAAGATTAAATTCTCTCTAATGATAACAGGTGTAGGTTGCTCAACATACCTATGTATAATTGAATTGGCTACCTCATTTACTTTTGGCATCTGTTGGATTACAAATAATGAGACAGCACATTAATATCTGCATTTTCTGGAAAATACGAGCTCTCTGTGCATCTATAGCCATAACATCTGAGGTTCATACAACTGCACATCTTTTAATGCAATATATGCCATCAAATGCCAGCAATGCCCCTCTGCCCTGTATATTGGCCAAACCGGACAGTCTGTGCAACAAAGATAAATGGAAACAAATCAGACAACAGGAGTGCTAACATACACACACCTGTAAGGGAACATTTTAACCTGCCTGGTCACTCTATCATGGATTTAAAAGTAACCATTCTTCTGCAAAGGAATTTCTCCACCCATTTACAGAGAGAAACTGCAGAACTGGAATTCATCTACCAATTTAACACTGTTACCCTGGGCTTGAATAAAGACATCAACTGGTTAATGCACTACAAAGCCAATTTCCCCTACCTCTGACATCTGAATTTCCACATCAAAAGCTAAGAATGGGATACATCCAGCCCACTTCAACACGGGTCCTATAATTGACAGGTACTTCTTTTGCTTTTATTTATATGTATGTGTGTGTGCGCGCGCGCACACACACACACACACACACACACACGCGGCTTGACAAACAGCAGCAAGAGCTACTCACCAGCCCCGCATCACGCATGCACCAGACCAGCACTGCACATGCGTGCAGCGCCGGTGAATGGGACGCACGGAGCGACTGGCTGAAATTTACTCACCATGGGCAGGTAGAATCAGTGGTTTGTCAAGCCCTGTATATATCTATCTTGGATTCTGCTGTTTGTACTCCAACTCATCTGATGAAGTGGGTCTTACCCACCAAAGCTCAGGATCTTATGTATTTTTGTTAGTCTCTAACACTCCTTTTTAAAGTGACAGACTAATATGGCTACCCCTCAGACTTTTTCTGCATCTTTAGGTCATTTATATGCATCAGATATAGACCTGAAATAATGGACCTTCACAGCTATCACGACTTAGCCAAGCACCCAATTCTACTTACTTAACCACAAATTAATGCCAACTCTTCTGCTATGAAGATTTTGCTACCTGCATCAAATTTAAAAAAAAAAATTAAGCCTTTCGCCTCTCACTTTCTGTACAGCACTGAAAACAGCCCATGATCTTAAGTGAGCAAGACTGAGAAGTGCTCTGTTTGAAAACAAAGGATTAAAGTGAACTTTGTGTTCAGAATGCGTGCAAGGATTCCCAAGGAATATTAGGTAAACATGAACACATGAAAGGCTGATTATAGTGGTTCCAAGTAGCACCATTTTATACCCGACTTCTTTCTTCGCAGCATACAAGGCTCTTTCAGTTGTACAAAGCCTCCCCTCAAACCACTAGAAAAGCACCCTGAGCAAACACAAACATCACACAGCCACCATCCTGGACAAGTAAACAGAAGTCAGGCAGCGAACACTCCACAACTGAAGCATTTTTAGATCCCCAAAGCCAATGAAAATATATTTGGCTTTCTTTGCATTGCTGTGTGTTTACTTTCTTGGAACCAGTCGAGCCTCATCTTCCCTTGCAGTGTGTTGCAGCCAGCCCACAGAATATCAGTCTACTAAACAACAGGGATATAAAATAACTATACTTAGGAAGGACTATAACTCTCTCTCACTGACAAAGCAGCAACAACTAAAAGCAAAAAACCTGGCACTAAAGGGCTTATATGAAGAGCTGATGTTTTAGATCTGTTTTTGCTTGTACCTCTTCTCTCTTACTCTTCCCCCCATCCTCGCAAGGCAGAGTTTTATATTTTTCCCATTCAGTTCAATGCAAAAGGCATTATTATGAATAAAAGATGCCTTTTATAGCACCGCTCATTTTTATACACTGTCTCCATTACAGCCTCACTGAATCAATCCAGGGGAGACAGATTGCCAAATGGGCGCTATTTTTGCAGTAACAATATTTGAAGGAGAGAGAAATGCACAGAAATTACTATCCTGGGTAGTTCTCTAATTCCACGATATTTTTGTAGGCACCCCAGAAATAGCCACTGTGTGGAAAACTGTATGATGAAAGGGTATTCATGTTGATTGCTGCTGGTTAACACTTAGGCATGTCAATGGCTCTCTCTGAAGTGAGAGTATTGACCAAGAGTGTAATTTTGGTTCCTGGAGCTCAGAAAAAAAAATACTGTCAATCCGTCTACTACTGACCTCAATGGGAGTCTTTCTAAAGATTTTAACAGACTGGGCCTATATTCCAGAAGGTGAAGCTGGATTCTCCAAGGGGCTAAAGTCAATGAGAGCTGGCAGAACTAGCACACCGCAGGGGCATGTAGGACTAGACAGGGACTAGCACAGCGATGCAAAGAAAGCCAGCCAAGGTGGGATTCCTGGAGAAGAGTAAATGCGTCTCTGAGGTTCTGATGCAACTTCTCTAGGCAGGCTTTGGCACGGCCCAATGCCAGAGTCTTTCAGCAGACACATCCCCAGGGAGAATGTAGATTAAACGGTAGGAAAACCAGGAGACTTGGATGACATTTCGGTACCGGTCTAAGCTGCCAAGGGAGGCTGTGGGGCTGCTATCAATGGAGGCATTCAGGGTGAGACTAGACAGAAGTGGGAATGTTTTATGGATAATGAAATCAGTCCTGAAACTATGCAGTAGGATGACCCACTAATGGGCCTTTCCAACATAAACAATTCAGCGGTCTAAGATGGTGCCAGGGAACCACTAGAGGAAAACCTATTATAGCAGAACTTGTTACAGTCCTCTAGCCAGGAGACAAACTGAAGTGACTACACACATTTCCACACCAGTGGGTGAACTCACCATATATTCCATATTGGCAGCTGAAGGATAGACTTCACCTCTCAGCTTGTTATGAAGCATCAAAATCTCTTCTTTGTCTGACCTTGGAATCGCTCTCTTGGCTCGGGAGTGATAGCTCTTCCAAATGTTCTCAAAGAAAGTACCATTGGGCAAGTAAAAGCATCGGGCTTCCTGCACCAAAACCAGGAGATATCCAAGGAGGAACCAAGACAGGGTAGGACTCATGGTCTACTCTGCGGTCAATGGACGTCGAGATGAACGAGGTAGAAGCACTCTGATTTTCTCTATTGCGCTGGACTGGTCTGGAATTCAGGTAGGAAACAAACAGTCACTCCAGGGAACACTAAGGAAGATCAACAGCATGTCAAGAGGATGAAGGCAAATCTGAAAATTAAACGAATTATTTTCTCTCCTACACAGCCCCAGTGCACCTCAAGGGTTCCCATTTCACAGATAGCAAGTCCTAGCCAGTTGGACAGGGCCAACTTCTTAAATCAGGTATTGTCTAGATTTCACACTGAATACTCTCGCTTTCCATAACTACTCACCGTTGCCCAATTTGCACATGCACTCGTTGGGGTGATATGAGCTTATTAGGTAGGTCATGGCACGTGAATTTTGCAAGGCCAACCCTTTTGCCTACAGCTATTTCCAACATGCCCATCAAGGCAGGAAAAAGAGGGCTGCATCAATATGAAATGTTCATAACTTCCTCCCAGCCCATTCCACATGCCGACTCTAGAGCAGGTGCGGGTAACCTAAGGTCCAAGGGTTGGATGTGGGTCCTGGCTTGCCTAGAACTGTCCCCCAAAGCTCTGGGTTCCCCACCCCTGCATTGAAGAACCCACTCTGGTCCCCCACCTCCAGTTCTCCCCGTGGGGTTGGAGTGCCAGCACTGGCTGCTTGTTGTAGGGGAGGAGCCACAAGACTTCTGGGCTGGTATCAAGCAAGCCAGAGCTGGGTCCGATCCACAGGGGCAGTAAAGTGCTGCCTGGAGGCTTTCCCCCCCCCCAAAAAAAAATCTACTAGCCCTCCTAGGCTTTGCCGTGTGAAGGGAACGTGGGGGGGTGTCTTTCTGCTTCTCAGTCAGGGGCCATGTCAGTGAAGTGGGTGGGTTTTTTTGGGGGGAGTTGGTGGTTTGGGGGCTTTTTTGCTTCTCACTCATGTGCAGCCCCCCAATTTCATATTACAGGTTGGACCTCTCTAGTCCGGCAACCTCTGTGGTCCGGCATAATTTTATTTTGCCAGATGTCCACTTACCATGCATATGGCCAAGTTTCCTGATTTTTCTTTAGGTCAGCGGCCCCCAACACAAAAAAGGTTCCCCATCCCGCGTCTAGAGGGTCCCAGTACAGCTCCAAGACAAAAAGGCGGGGGCTGTTTGGGGAATAGAGCATATCCCGGACAGCCCTGGACAGGGCCAACTTATCCATTAGGCACAATAGGCACAGTGCCTAGGGCCCACGATACTCTTAGGGGCCCACAAAAATGTTTTAATTTATTTTAAAATCAGAAGAAAAAAAATGAACTTTTAGGGTCGAAGAAAATGTTTTAATTTTTCTCTCACATCAGGAAAAAAATGAAACTTTTAGGGCCCGCAAAAAAAAATCTATTAAATTTTGCCTAAAACAGAAAAAAAAAAATGTTGAAATATTTAAAGTTATATCAAAAATAATTTTTAATATTGATATTATTATAGTGGGAGGGGCCTATGAAGGCAAATAATGCGGCCCACAAAAGTCATAATGCGGCCCTGGCTCTGGAATGCCCATAAAAGTAGCGGGAGGTGCAAAAATATATGGAGATTCTCCTGAGAGGTGTAATTTATATCCATCAGAGTGAATCACCGGCCAGACCCTTAAAATATCACATTCTCCAAGCTGTGACTTTTCACGTCTGCAGGGGGAGAAACGACAGGTTGTTTCTTCCAAGTGTTGTCGTTCGAGGAGGAGAACAGCTCCTAACAAAAGGGAAAGCAAACTTCCCCAGCAGCCAAGTCACAGAGGGTCAGACATGAGCTATAGCTATTTCACAGGCCTCCGCCTGCCAATAGACTCCGGCAGAGCCAGCCCCCAGAATCTGTCTGTTTGTGTGAAATGTCATCGTAACATCAGAGCAATCAAATTCCCCTCCGCAAGTGACGCATTGGGGTGTTCTCACTGACGCGGTTACAACACTCAGCTGGAGACAGACGTGCAGCCAACTCGATGAATTATTACAGAGCAGGAGAGGAGCTGGAGCAGGTTTTCCGCTCCTCACCTCAAAGAGGAACCAATTCTGCATTGCTCAGTTGCCAAGAGTCAACCTGCCTGGAACGGGAAGCTGTAATCAGAGCTGAATGCTGGCCTGAAGTGTGCTGACGATGATGGTCTAAATCACCTTGGACCTTGATCCTCTCTCCATCTTCAGACTCACCTGTAAGTGAGCAAACCCTCCACCCTGATTATGATCATTAACTGTCCGTGCTTTGTCCCTCACCTGACAGACATTCTCTGGTACTACAGATTTGTCCAGTTAGCTGGGATGGGCTGGTAATATCATGGGAATACAGGTTGAACCTCTCTAATCCAGCACCCTCTGGACCTGACTGGTGCCGAACCAGAGAATTTGCCAAACCACAGGAGATCAAAATTGTCTAGCAGCATGACCAACACTTCCACTGCTTACTGGGCTCTTAGAAGACATTTAGGGGTATATTTAGAGCTAAATAACAGCACAGAACACGGAGAACCAGGACTGGTGGCTGTGAACAAACTTTATGGGACCGCAGGAAACTGAGCCGTACGCATGATAAATGGACATTCGGCTCTGGACCACAAAGGTTGCCAGACCAGAGAGTGCAGGAGTAGAAAGATCCAACCTATAATATGAAATTGGGTTTAAACGTTCACACTGGACAGACAATGGAACAATCCAGTCACATCTTCATAAAACCAAAGGAGTGAATTACAGATTTCCAGTGTTACTGAGTGATGTTTGCAGTCTGGGAACCACCATGCCAATGGGAACAACTGTATATCAGGGCAGCTGTGTAAGGAGGCAATATTTCAAGAGAGGCAGCTTTTCCTTAATCAAAATTATCCCAAAGGCTGTCCAATTACATTAGGAGGAGCATGGCTGGCAGATCTAAGGAAGTGACTATTCCTCTTTGTTTGGCACTGGTGAAGCCATATCTACAGTATTGCACCCAATTCTGTCCTTCCCCCTCCCCTCCCATTACAGAAAGGATGTGGATGCATTGGAGAGAGTCCAGTGGAGGGCAACCAAAATGATGAGGGGGCTGGAGCACAGGACCTATGAGGAGAGACTGAGGGATTTGGGCTTATTTAGTTTACAGAGGAGAAGAGTGAGGGGGGATTTGAGAGCAGCCTTTAACTACCTGAAGGGGGGTTCCAAAGAGGATGGAGAGAGGCTGTTCTCAGTGGTCACAGATGGCAGAACAAGGAGCAATGGTCTCAAGCTACCATGGGTGGAGGGGAGGGGATCTAGGTTGCTTATTAGGAAAAGCTATTTCACTAGGAGGGTGGTGAAGTCCTGGAATGGGTTACCTAGGCCGGTGGTAGACTCTCCATCCCTAGAGGTTTTTAAGTCCTGGCTTGACAAAGCCCTGGCTGGGGTGATTTAGTTGGGATTGATCCTGATCTTAGCAATGGGTTGGACTCGATGACTCCTGAGGGCTCTTCTAAACCTAGGGTTCTATGATTCTATGATATTAAACATCCCAGAACCCTTTCCTGAATAGGCCCCCAAATGTTTTCTCTACATGACTGGTTCTGCAGATTGTACTGTTTACATTAACAAGCATTGCAAATTACCACTACGTCCTCCCCAACTGGGCATTTTAATGCCGGGGTGTTTCTGGCTTGAGGGTATTGTTGAACGTGTTTGATAGAGGTGATTCATTTTCTTTCTTATAGTGTCTGGGTGAGGATGGGGAGCGGAGGACAGCAGAACTGCTCTGATGGCTGAAAAAATAAATCAAAGCTTGTTACCTATTTAGCTGTAGAAATATTTCGCTTCCCATCTAATGGAAGAGCAGCCAGGTGTTAACAACATGCTTTTAAGCAGGAGTATGCACACAGCACGCAATTATTTTGATGATGCTCAGAATGCATCTAATGGATCTAATTCTCCAAGGTGCTGACTCTCATAGAATCATAGAATCATAGAATAATAGGACTGGAAGGGACCTCGAGAGGTCATCGAGTCCAGCTCCCCGCCCTCAAGGCAGGATCAAGCTCCGTCTACACCATCCCTGACAGATGTCTATCTAACCTGTTATTAAATATCTCCAGAGAGGGAGATTCCACCACCTCCCTTGGCAGTTGATTCCAATATTTGACCACCCTGACAGTTAGGAATTTTTTCCTAATGTCCAATCTAAACCTCCCCTGCTGCACTTTAAGCCCATTACTCCTTGTCCTGTCCTCAGAAACCAAGAGGAACAAATTTTCTCCTTCTTCCTTGTGACAAATTTTCTCCTTCCTCATGACTCCAGCAAAAGTCAAGGGGCGTGTTGAACCCTGGCAAACCAAGCCCAGAGCTTATGCTGTCCAGCATGTTTGTCCAGTGCTTAACACAACGTAGCCCCACATCCCTGGCAGCCTTCTCAAGGCTACTGTGATATAAAACAGCAACTTTATAAGCAAAGTATTAAGGGATTGAGCTGGAGATCATGGTAGGATTACATAAAGAAAGTGTCTTAATTACTTCACTAAACCACCCTTTGGTTTATAGGGCAAGTGTGATACACAGACATGCATAATCCCTAGCCAGGGTTTTATCAGTTAAATTGAGGTTGAATTAGCCTAGTAAAAGCATTCAAGGCACACAACTTCTAGATTTCTTTTAAGGATAAATATTGCTCTCATCTCATCCTCTTCCCAGCATTGTTCGCTGGCACAAACCCGTCCATAAGTGAACCGTAAGTGGATAAAGAGAAGGGAGAAGGGAATGAGCTATTATTTTGCAGCCTGCCTGGCCCAGTCCAAGGAACAACTCCTACTTTCAGACACTTCCCCAAGAGGTTTCACATACAGATACTCCGCCAGGGCTATTTACACTGTGGCCATTTAATATGAGCCGTTTTAAATGCAATCTGCTTCTTAGGTATGGTGGCGAGAAGCAGGCAGCTGGCATCAGCTGCAGTTTCCCTCCTGACCTGGATTCACTCCTTTTTCTAACAAGGGGGCCACGTCTGGCACACAGTGAAAGTATAGAAACTGCAACTGGCAAATCAGCTGAGCCACCTGACAGCCCAGAGTTACACCGCAGGTGTTACTGTGCCATGAAGTCAACATCCCAAGTCCTTAACAGACCTTAGGCAACTTGACTCAGACCCCTTCAGCAGCTGGTCAGCACTGTGTAACAGACGGCAGATTATTCTCCGAGGCCTCTTCTCTGCTTGTCAATAAACATCCCTAATGCCTTTCCCCACAGGGGCTGCCTTGAAACTTAGTTTTAATGTTGGTGAAGGACGTATTCAGTCCCTGCAGCAGACAAATCGCCCATTGCAACCTCTGTGAATGCACATCCATAGGCGCATTGATTTCAATTAAAAATCGGGGTAAGACCGGACATTAACTTCCATGGGAGTAGATCCTAGCCCAGTAAGATCAACGAATCGAGTTCTTGTCAGGTAGGATTGAACCCAGGATCTTAGGAGCTAAAGCCATGAGCCTCAGCTGGGTCAGAGAAAAGCCAAGTGGCCCTAAGCTAAGGTTGTAGAGCAGCCTTCACTCTTCCTTTTGATGGTCTCAGGGCCCCCGCATTACACAGGCAGAGCTATTGCAATACTAGCCCAGCTCAAAGGTCTGACTTGTCTAGTGGTCTGCCCCAGGATGTCTTAGAAGCAGTGACATTAAAACAGGATAATGGCAAAGACACACTCCTATTACAGTATGGGCAACTATAACACTCCTTGGTACACAGTGAAACCCTGTGGACGCCCATGGGAATTTGAGTGGGCAAAGAACACAAGAGGCAAGTCCTCCACCGGGATCCATGGTTCCAAGCTCTTCTTCAACCCAGCAAGCCCCAGTTCAGCAACACTGTTTAAGAGCTTTGCTAAATCACAGCTCCAGGCTCCACAGACCACTGGCTGGCCAGTTGTGAAACTCCTACAAGCATTGGATGCACATTGTGTTCAAGCTGGAAGTTTGACAGTCATCTCAAACACTGTGCCAGCTGTGATTACACTTTGCTGCATTGGGAGAGGGGGAATGGAAGCATTTTTATGGCCTCTTTTCCGACATCTCAGGCTCATGCAGACATTTAGGGCTGATCAGAAACCATTGAAACCCCAGCAGCTACCTCCTGAAAGTTCTCACCTGCCAACAACATTCCACTTGGGGACAAAGGAAAGGCATTTTTCTGAGATTGGAGGAGGTCGTCTTTAAATGGGCTTTGAAAAGCTAAGTCACAAAAAGTTACTGCCTGGACTAATTGAAAGCTTCTAATCTCAGACTGTAGTAGCCTGGATAACCTCTGAAGCTGCCATGCAAAATTCCCTGCTCCACCCACAGACAAACAAAGTTAGCCTCAATGTGGTGTCCTCACCAGACCTTAAAGTTTTACTGTTATTGATCTCTAGTTAAATATTAAAATGGTTGTCTCATTTCCCCCAGTTATACAAATATATCCCAAAATACCCAGTGCCATGGGATAACTTAAACAGAGAAGGCAGAGGAAACTGGCAAGAGCAAGAGTTAACATAGGATGCCAGCAATAACTCAAAACCAGTAGCGCAGAGTCAGTGCTGGATCAAATTTTCACGCTTATAGATAAATTCAGGATACAAGCACTACGCCCACTGTATAGTTTGTGCATGCAGCCTGGCCTTTTTAGCCAAGATGCACATATTTGAGGCTTTGGAATGTTGACAGGTTTCCCCCTGAAAACGTTAGACCTGCAGAATATTCAGAGAAATTACAAATTCTGTGACTCAGAATATGTAATTATCGCTATCACGTAGAACAATGAAATCTGTGTTTTCAAAGGGAGAGAGAAATCATCTGGGTCTGTCATCACCCACTCCAGGGCAATACAAGAGGTTCAGTTTCTGTCTAAAGCCACACTAGAAGTTGGGTTGTTGTTTTTTTAATTGTTCTACTAGTATTTGAAGGTTCTGATGAATTCATTTGAATCGCGGTTCTGATTACATGTGAATATAACATATAGCTTAATATATAATAGCTGATATTTAAATAGGACGAAGATGAAGAAAAAAAAATCAGGAGATGTTTCAATTAATGGTCAGCCAATTGTTAGAGGTTTTAGCAACAGGACTTCCAGAGGATTATATTATCTATGACACCTTCCACCTATGTGCTTGTAACTGTGTATAATATGAGTAATACTATTTACATACCATCGGTTGCTATATTAACCCATTATGAACTATTTATGAATGGAACTTTAATATTAACATGCAATTGTGTATCACACCCGCTCTTTTGGAGACAGTCTTAAACCTACCCCATCCTTGACACCGATTCGGGTTGCACACAACGCAGGCAACTGTGTTTAAACCCACCGCTGTACTCAAACTTCACGCTTACCTCTCAAAGTCTGCAAGTCCGCTGGAAGTGAAAACTCCTCCCAAACCTGCGGGTGCGAATTCTCTCTAAACCGGGAGCGGGGGAAGTAAAACGAGGTGCAATGAATGCTAAGGTCTCAGAGCAGCTGGCAGCGATGAATGCTGTTCCCATGAACTCCCTCCGTGATATTTATACTCTCCAGGGTTGGGATGATCTGCTGGCCATCTCAGATCTTGGCAACGGCTCTGTATTTTCTGAGGGGGGGGGATAGAGGGGTGTCATCAAATCTCTCAGCGCAGCGGGGAGCTACCACTGAGCCTAAGAAAACTGAGACTCGCCCTCCCAAATGGAGTAATATAAAACACACACACACGTGGAAAAAAAAGGGGGAGGGGGGCGTTGGGGGAGGATACCATCGGGTGGGAGGGGCCAGTAATGAAAACCAAATGATTATTTGCAAGTTTTCCATGAGCCCCGCTAGCAGGACGGCTCCGATGCAATTCAGCGGTGGACTCCGGAGAGATCGGTCGGCTGCCGCCCTTGAAGTTTAACAAACAACCCCCCCAAAAGGCCACTCACGCGGGGGTCGCAGG